GAGAGTAGTTGATATCCATGCCCCCCACCTAATTCCTTGAACATTAATAATTGAAGTATTAAAATAACGACCATTAAGATTTGAACTATAGCAGTTATTATACCACCAGGCACCAGTGTAGATCTGAGCACAGTTACCTCCTGATTCATCATTATCATTATCTCTTGTAGTGAATCTCCTTCCATTATGACCAGCCAGACTATTCCCAGCAGTACCAGAATATCCTCCTACTGTTAGTATATATTCAGTACTACCATCACTAACACTGAATGTAGAGTAGTTAGCATATGCTTCTTTCCCCTCAAAGTCTCCCAGGTCCACTCTTAGTGTGTTTGATCCTTCTTTAGTAAGACGACGAATCTTGCTTAATCCTAACCAAAACTCACCAGTAAGGTTACCAAATCCATTCTCATAGTCAGTCCAGTTTCTATAGAAATCAACATATCCATCTTGTCTCCTCTGAAATACAGTCCATCCACCACCATCAGTCTCCATATCACAGTATACCTGTGATGCAATATAGTGTATCATGAAGGATTACTTTAACTAACTTCAAATGGAGTCCCTCCATCAGGATTAATAGTATAAATATCACTTGCATTATTACCATCCTCAAACAAGCTCTTACAATCACTGATATCTAGTTTATAGTGTTAGTATTAATGTTTTAACTATTAGCTTATTTACTTAGTGGTGGACAGGCTTGTGGCCTTACTTTAGGACACATTGTAATAGTCTTCATTCTTCCTTCTTTTGTACGAATAGTCTGTCCTAAGTTACTGCTGTTACAGCATGTCCTTATATACAGTGATGATTCATGTTTATTTCCAGTACAATCAGCCATACAATAAGATCCTTCTCCTTCATCAATAGTAACTAGTAAGGACAGCAACAGCAGCATCATAAAGATGATCATCTTTGACATTTTACTATTCGAAGGACTGGAATTTATGTGATTATTTTGGTGTTTATTGTTGTGATGAGCAAAACTTAAACTATGTACAAAACCTAATTTGTTTAGAAAAAAAGAAGCATCCTTGATAATGTATACTATTAATTATTGTAGTTATTTTTTAATTGATAAGCAACAATAGTCAATATAATCACTACAAGGTATGACAGACTGTAATATTGAAATGGCATAATAATATATCAGCACAATGTAAACACACTTATGTGTGTGGGGGACAGTATTTAATTGTTACGACGAGTTTTCATCTCTGAGAACTGCAGAGTAGTCGTCTTCCAATACCACCACTTAATTCCTTGACTATTACTAGTTGAAGTATTAAAATAACGACCATTAAGACTTGAATGATAGCAGGTATGATACCACCAGGCACCAGTGTAGGACTGAGCACAGTTACCTCCTGACCATGCATCATTATCATTATCTCTTGTACTGAATCTCCTTCCATAATGCCACAACAGACTGTCCCCAGCAGTACCAGAATATCCTTCTGCTGTTAGTATATATTCAGTACTACCATCACTAATATTGAATGTGGAGTAGTTAGCATAAGCTGTGTCATTATCAAAGTCTCCCAGGTCCACTCTTAGTGTGTTTGATCCTTCTTTAGTAACACGATGAATCTTGCTCAATCCTAACCAAAACTCGCCAGTAAGGTCACCAAATCCATTCTCATAGTCAGTCCAGTTCCTATAGAAATCAACAGATCCATCTTCTCTTCTCTGAAATACAGTCCATCCACCACCATCAGTCTCCATATCACAGTATACCTGTGATTCAATAGTGTATATGATTGCAAATTACTCAGTTTTAACTAACTTCAAATGGAGTCCCTCTATCAGGATTAACAGTATAAACACCACTGTAGCATTAC